GAAGTAAAGTTACAGATATGCTAGTGCTCAGATGGGTGCGTGGAGGACCATGTTTAGCAAGTACATTAAGTGAAGTTCTAAAATGAAAACAATTAATCTAAGCAAGTGATAAGGAGATCTAAGAATTGATGAGTACATCAGCAAAGTAGTCGAAACAAACACAGCCAGGGAAGAGAAAAAGTAGAAGACCGAAAGAAGGGATAACAAAACAGTATGATACCGATGGAAGTTTCCAAAGATTCGATCAGAAACAAAAGAATGTGGAGGAAACTGACCCAAACAGCAAACTCCTATTAAAAATAAGTTTGGAAAAAAGATATCGTCTTTTCTTTACCTGCTTCTTCTGCTTAGTAATCGACCATGGCTAACTGACAGAAGGCTCTAACCTTGAGGAATGCATGGGAAACTCGTGTCGAAACTGAAACGTCGGTAGAGTTGTATAGTGTCGATTATTTTATCAAATTGATCCCTTGCGTGAAGCCTTATGATGGTTATGATTTGCCTTTTTATCCATTGCTGGATTAAGGTATCTCCAAGACATGGCCAGGGACTTATGTTATCTGCCATTTTCATCCATCTCAATCAAGTGAACTTCTTCAGCTCATTCTGCCATTGATCTGCAGATTTTCCTAAAGGTCCGTTTACTCTCTTGAAACGCAGCCTAATGTCTCTCTGGTCCAACGGTGGACATACAACCATTGCAATACGCTTAATTTTAAACGCATTAGTTCCCTGCTATTAATATTTAGCCTTTTCAATTTTTCTGGCCGACGACATATCTTTCCTCGCATTCTTGAACGAAACTTGGCAATGTAAAGAACGTAACAAAACAACGGCTTCAAATTACCTGGAACTCTGCGGCTGAGCTGCTTTTCGGTTTGGAATGAAAAATTAATATCTAAAAAGCTGTGTTTAAAAGTTTCGAAACTTGCCCAGAATTAAAGCGTAAATAAAAGAGCTGAAATAGAAATGACTTCCGCACAGCGAAATCTAGTGCGTTGAGTGAAAAAGAAATCGGAATTTTGAAAACTGCGTTCGCACCTATCAAGCTGTTTTTCAAAAACAATGGATCAGATTTCGGCGAATCGTACTTTTCCGGCGGGCCATATTCTAAGAGCAGACAAGTGCATGAGCTGGGACAAGGAATACCGTTGGTCCTCACCGTACACCAGCTGTGAAAATCGAGGATGTGCCGCTGCGAACGCCCTGTATTCTGCTGATTCCTTGCCGAGGGCGATCACCTTCGACCATTCAGCTGAAAACAGTTTCAGGTAGTCGATTTCAGCCCATTTTCTTTCTTCGTCCTTAATCTACGAGAAAATCACGTGAAAAGAAACTATCATTGTTTAACAACACTTAAGATACCTCCGTTTTGTCAAGCATTTTCAGTCGCTTGATTTTGGCGATAACTAGCTCAGATGATGTGCGCTTGTCAAACGAGTAAAGAAACGGATTTTCGTGAATCGTCAGGAACTCCAGACGAGGTAGAGAGTTTAATTCGTCCACTGAGTTCCACTAAAGCCGGTCACTTGTTAAGTTCATGCATGCATTACCTTAGACTGTGCTGTACGTCCTCGATCTTGTTTCGACTCAGATACAATACTTTTAAAGAAGGAAAAGGATGGCTTTGCGACGTGGATTTTATGCGTATTTCCGAAATGTAGTTCCCGTTTAGATTCAGAACTTCCAACCTAAACGTGAGAAAGATTTAATAAGTCCAAAAATACAATCAAGCAAAAAACACTTAACGTTGTAATTAGGCAATAAATAATAAGAGAGAACGAAATCAATATTTTATCATACACTTATGAATGGTAGGGCAGTAAAATTGGACCATAAGCCTGTCTAATGAGGAAGAAAGTCTTATTCATCTTTTCATATGCATGCTGTATTAAGAACTAGAACAGGTCAGCATTCATCACCGATTATATCGTTCTTTGAGTCAGCTAGAGCGTGTGGCTCACAGCTGAAAGATGGCGGGTAAACATCCTTATCGGAAAGGTCTAATCGAGTCTTCAGATATATCTTTACCTTTTGTGAACTCTCGTGGTAATAGCCGAAACTTCAGAATAAAGAAAATCTGTCCAAGCCAGTTCAAAACCATTGTTTTGCTGAAAAAGTGGAAAGTGAGAAAATTACTTTTGAGAAAGGAGTAAATACATACATGTTTGTTTGCCATTACACATACTATATATACATAAGTGTTTCTCCAATCGGCCATCAATTAATTTGAGAACAGAGTTGACGGAAACCGAAATCAAAGGGTCACGGCTTTTTAAGGTCCACTATCTTCTGAATTAATTATCACTAGAATTAGCAGTGACAACGCTTGAGAAGGTTAACTTCTTTAACTGAGTCTTCAGAGGGTGACACTGAAGTTGGCAATCAAATGTATGTCGGTCTTGCTTATACTTTCATGATATTTTGAGTATTTGTGCTATCCATTTTCAGGCTCTATATAAAGGCTTTTCATACTCTCGTGCCATCTGTGACACCGACGCAATCACGTTCTACTTATGATAAGCCATCTTCACTAAAATGAATCTATGCCTTAGGGCAAGGAAGGAATCAAAAGTTGGACCTGGTTAATTATTCATGCTGTTCAGTTTGAGATACCGTTGATCCAGCATTATTTTTGCCCGCCGTTTGGGTTTTTTCTTTTCATAACAGCGCTGTTTTCTTCATATAAGAGAGCTTCTTTCTACTTCCATCGTTGACTTTGGTCACGACCCAATTTCTTAGAACTTCCGTGTGGTGCACACAAAATCAGTTTTGTGCCGTTCCCCTTTCAGTGACTTCTCTTACGAAGATTCCAGTAATGTACATAGTATGCTTCCTTTGTTGAAACTGGCCTCTGACTAAATATTGACTATGTACGGTAATCTGCTTCCCTTTGTGACTTACCGAGGCAGCGAAGAAAGTACAGCTACGTAATTCCAGTCTGAGATCTGATTATTCTCGAGATCCAACACCTTCAGTAACGGAAGCTTCAGTGTTTCGAAGTTAGTTAAGTTATTGTGAGAAAGTCTAAGTTCCTGTAAATTCGGAAACATAGACAATATCCGTAATATCTGAAAAACGAAGCAAGAAAATTAAAAAAAACAACAAACAGTCCTAACGATTACCTCATCTAACGGTGAAGCGATATCGTTCAGGAAGAGGGCTGAGATGTTTGACAACCTTGTAGTGTTTGTATCCGCCTTACAAGACTGAACTGGTTTGAATCTGTTCTTGCTAAACATGCAAATTATGAAACAAATGGGACAATACAACTAGAAATGATTTATAGCCTGCCTTAGATCGATCACTTGCAAGCGTAGAAAATTTTCACACATCACAATGACATCCTTCCAGTCACTGATCAAAGTACAGGGAAGCGCAAGCTCCGTCACCATTGGGTAGAGAGAAAACATCTTCACACAACCGACGTGCGAAACGTTGCTGTGACTTAGGTAGCAGTTTGTGAGTCTTTCTGCTCTAAACAGTTGGAAATGTATTTTACAAAGAACAATTAAAATAACAATCAACATCTAGTAATGCCAAGTTTAACTGCATCCTGAAGCAGTGCAACAACATCCGTCTGATCCTCTGTGTCACAATGATTATATTTATCATTCTCGTTTTCTTCCTCATCATGCTGATTTTCATTATGCTTACCCTCATCCTCATTATCTCACTGTTATGGCGCAGGCCCCTTGAACTTAGATGCTTAGGACAACGGCTTCATGATATTTTGTCGTTTAAAATGCAAGGTGCATCGCACATCCTTTTTTACTTTAGCAATACGTTGTCATAGGAGAGATTAGCAAGGCGCACTATTTGGACAAAGCTACGAGGGAAGCAGTTCAGAGGCAGACCAAGGGGGGGGGGGTAGGCTGCTGCGTTACGAAAAGATTTGGCATCGTCATGCCTTGGAATTTACACCAATGAGCTTCTACGCTGATCAGTGAACAGCAGGACCAGTCTAAAGGCCGCCTGAAGCAGCTACCCACTGACCCAAATCAATGGCAGACTTCAGAAACAAATGAATGAAGCACACGAACGAACAATACGTTATTTCTGCACCCGTGGACATTCAGTGACAAGCTGCTGTTTTGACCATCACCTTCAACATTTTTGTATAAGCAGAACCTCTGTGGTTTGTGATGCTTGCTGTATTCAGAACAGTTCAGTACTTTTGCTACTAGGATACCGGTCACTACATCGCAAAAGGAACATTCGTCTCTGAAAGCATATATAGTGTTGTATGTCGTCTACTTGTTAACGTACGCCTCGTTTCTGTCCCCACATGAGCAGTTCGAAAATTGGAATGACTGCTGAAAGGTTACCCGGGTGTCTATAACAGACCCAATGTTATCCTTTTAAACTCTACACCTACTGACGATATCTCTGCTGAAACAAGAATCAGATAGTTGCATAAATGTCTTACAATTTACGCTTTGATATGCGTCGAAGCCAGCGTTGTTCTTGGTCGTTTGTAAGAACGCATGCTTCAGTACCGTACGGCAAAACTACCCTGACCGAGGTAAGGTGCACATGCGATTCTATTGTGGAAAAGGATGATCCGTTCTTTGCCGAAATGCTGGGCAGTCTACCAAAAGTACTAAATGCAAAGTACTAAATGATACTCCTATTCAATTTTAAGTGAATGTTGTCATCGTTGATGAAAACCTATTGTGATAAAAGTTAACTGGTTCATCTCATCGGTATCGAATAGGTTTATAATGACTTCTGACGTCTGGGGGTTAAGCAAGAGGCCGGCTTTTGCAGCTGTATTGCAGACGAAAGTTATAATGTGATAAAGGCCGCTTCCCGTACTACTTGCCACGATATCATCTGCTTACCTCAGGTCAATAAGATATACGGAACGTATTCAATCCTGCCAGACTTCCAGAACAGAACCTTTGTATTTGTTCAGCATAACACTGTTTAAAGAGAGAAAGTCGAGAACAGTGATGAACAGCAATGAGGTACATCTACCTGATAGACTTCACAGATAATATGGAATCACAGAGACAGCCATCTTTTACATTTTATTAACTGGCATGATTTACTTATACACCCCTTTTAAAACAGAATTGATGTAATAGGCAATCCATAGAATTTTAGGATTTTCTACATTGTCGTATAATGAACATAGTCAATGAATCTGCATATCAAGGTAACCGCATTTTCGGCATTACACAGTGATTTTACCAAGAATGAAAACTGATCAAAACAAGAGTACCCCATTCGGAAACATGCCTGACTGGACGGAATTTTTCCATCAACTAAATACTTCAGTCTTTTTAGAATGATCCAAAATTATCTATTCACTTCAGATGCTTAAACTTGGAGCTGGGGCCTAAAAAGCGGCTCCATACGTACGTAAGTGGCATGGCACAAGACTAGTGTTCGCGAAACTTTCATGTAATTTAGCTATTAAACGAACACATACTTGAGCCCCTTTGACAGCTCCTTTAATGCAGTGCCGATCACAGAGCAATCTTTCTGAGCCAGTCTAGCGTTTAGGCGTTGCCTGCATACGTCATATTGTTCTGCCAGAACGGAGAATAGCGAACGGCCAACGTCTAAGTGGTTCAGCCGAGTAAAAGAACCGCTTGTCGAGGAACTAAAGCTTAGAAAAATTTACAACAGAGCGTAGAGACACATATCTTCTAAAAGAGTAGCATATCAAATGCAGCATCATAACGGTTTCGAAGGATTCTGGCCACAGCCTTGCGTCTATAGCTGCACTGGTCAATTACCTGGCTTTGAAATAGCGAACTCCGCCTATCGACCCGTCGTGTTTGCCTCGTTTCGGGTCATCCCAATCGACGCCTATCCATTCTCCTAAAACGAAATCTAGCGCCTTATACAGCTTACGGGTGAACGTAGAGCCAAACCTTGGTAACCTTGTACGGTACCGATGTATAACACCGTTCCGGTGGCATTGCGCTTCCTTACTCGGCTGCCAATGGTCAACGAGGCTAAAATATTTCGCAGCTCAGTCACGAAATCACTTAGAGCCGAGGCTAGTCATGGGTAGAAATGAGTTATTTTCATGATAACTTACTTTTTGCTTCAATTTTTGTTTGAGGAAGCCGCACATCTATTGAAGCGGTCATTTTCTGGGAAGTCAGAATTCACCAGGTGGATCTGAACCTCCTGGGCCTATATCAATAAATGTAACGTAAGGTTTCTTCACATATACGGATATTTTTGCGGTCAAAACAAAAGCAAATAGCATATTAACTGCAAATATTAATATAAATTTATTGCACAGCCTTTGTCGAGTATCGAAGCGTGCATCAGTATAGCTGGTATAGGGAAGCTTCTGCTACGAATTCGGTGATCCATTTTATAATCGTATCGTGTGACTTACGCAGATCTGTAATGGGTGTTGGTGTTAAAGGGAAACGTAGAGCTCTCAACCGATCATCACTTTGCTGTGGTCGCCCTGCGGAGTACTAGCGAAATCTTGTCGGCAGAAACAACCATAGAATCAAATGTAAAATTTTACCTTCCGCTGATATAAGGGCAAAACTTGCAAAAAAACATCGCACGGTGATTTGAACATACCTTCGACTATCACTGATGAGGAAACTGAGTGGAAGCTCTTTAAGAGCGGTTTATTCCGGGTTGCCGCTCAATGCTGCGGATTCAAACGGGTTGGCCTGCCGCATGGAGGTCAAAAACTAACCTCCTGGTGAACACGAGATGTACATCAAACTATCACTGAGAAAAAGACTGCGCTCAAGAAATGACTTGGAAATGAAGAACTTTCAACCTGAATGCGGAACGATGTAGCGCGTAGGGTGGCGGCGGAAGCAATATCCCAAACGAATGCTGATTCTTGGGAAAATTTACTGGGATGCTGAATTCGTGTGGAAACAGGAGCAATCTAAGAGTATTCAAGGAAAAGCCTGCAACCTCTTATCGAAGATGATGACATTCTTCGGTAATTGAGAGAGTTCTTTTAAAAACTCCTTAACCCCGCGCAACCGCAGGAAGACTCGCCTGTAGTACAGAAGGGAACACATATTACTCTGCAGATGAAATTACAGAAGTTGTGAAAACCATGAAAAATGGAAAGGCTGATGGAATTGATGAAATCCACCCTGAAATGCTCAAGGTATTAGACGAACAAGACATGTGCTAGCTAAGACGTGTCTGTCAAACTGCGATGACTGCGGGAAAAACACCAGCGGACTGGAGAACGGGTGTTATT